GCGACCAGGCATGGAGGACTGGCTGGGATGGTCCCAGGGTCTGGGGACTGTCCTGGCACCTCTTTGCTCTCCCGTTCCCCCAGCCCACATCCTTTTCCTTCTCCCTTCCTCCCAAAGGGCAGCGCTGGGTTTCTCCCACCCCAGGGACGCAAGGAGAGGCAGCAGCAAATTGGAAAAGCTTCAATTTTGTTCCCTTTCCCTGGCACAGAGAAGGGAGGAAGGCAGCAGCGTTATTAATTGGGATTAAACACAGTCACTCCCTATTCGCTTCTTCCTAACGAGGAGACCTGGGGGTGCAGCAGGCACCTCACTGGGAAGCTGCTCGTACTTGCTCTGGGTGACGGACCTGAAGGTACATCTGGAACTTGTAATGAACATCACTTTTCCTGCCAGCCTTGAAGGGGCTGTAAATATTTACACCCGGTACTCCCACGGCTGATCCCATCTCATGCTTTGCGGACATGCCTAAGTACCACTGAGAAAACTACAATTGGTAGAAACTCTTGATGCTCAGAAGTTACCTGCGATCGTGCTGCTTCTTGTGAAGCAAGAAGCAATATCCTTCTACTCAAAGAATACCCACCCTTTTATATAGGCAGAAACTGAAGGGCAACAGCCTGACTCGCTGCCTCTCGCAGCTTCATAATGAGATTTGCAGCAGTTGGTATTTTCCCACAAAAACTAAGTTCCTGGATTCACATGATCGGAATACGAGGCTCTTGGAAGGAAGCAGAATGAAGAGTCTTGCCCTAATGATTGTAAAGCGAAGCTTGAAAGTTTGAACCTGAAAGCCCCAACGGACTTAAGGTTGAAAGGCAAATAAAAAGAAGCTGAAATGTATAGTTTGGGGATCTTATTACTTAACACTCAGAGTTGGCTCCTTCCTGCGCTAACGACATGGGCAGGAAGCTGTGACAGACCCAAGAAGTGAGCCAAGAGCTCCTGATCTCTGTCTCTGCGTTGCCGAGGACCATCCCACATCCTTATGCAAATGCCATTTACTTAAACAGGCCTACGGTTCTCCACCGGTGATCTTACCCAACCGCTTTAGGCCACTACATGTCATAAACCACCTCAGGAAAACAGCTGCCACGCAGAGGCTGTTTGTAAACCCAACTTTCACACGATGCTCAAGTCAGCCACAAAATTTGGGAAGCCCCCAGTCGCTGACCTGAGCACCTCAAACCCTGGTTTGAGCCCGCCGCCGGGTGTTTCCCCTCGCAGGGTCGGACCCTCCCGCGTCGTGCTGAGCTGCCTCAGCACCAGGGTGACGTGCGGTAAAAACGACAGAGCAGAAGAGTTTGCAAACCCGCCCCGTCGCAGACGGGTCCGTTAGAGGCTGTTTGAGCTTCTGGCCCTCAGCTAGGGAAGGAGGAGGAGGAGGAGAAGCCTGCAACAGCAACCTGGCGGCCGCGTGGCCGTGGAACGGGGTGCAGGGGGACCGAGTGACGGTTCGGGCCCCGCAGCCCCCGTCGTGGGGAGGCGTAGGGGACTCGCTGGGATGTGCTGGAACCTCCTTACCGTTCTCGCCAGCCTCCAACATGCCCTGCAAGTACCGGAAGGATCCGGACTGCTTAGGCTCTGACACGGGCTTGTCGTAATCCTGAAGCATCTTGTAGACATCCGACTCCACATCAATCCCATTTCTGTTCCGGGGGAGAGACTTCAAGGGATCGAGGCTTTTTAAAAAAAGAAAAGCAAGAAAGGCTGAAGTCAGATATAAAGAGCAATCATCGGCTCATCAGGGAGGTACTGAAACCTCCCCACTCCCACAGATTCAATTAGCACCTTTCTGTTCCCAGGGGTCCCCCTGTCCCAGGAACAGCCATCGTTAACCTCCTGCCCTGTTCCGCTCCCACTGAGCGACACGGCTAGGGCTGGCCCCGCTACCAGCTGCCGTCGGGAAAAAGCAAGCATCGTAAACTGCTCTGCCACACATGGAATTTATTGAAAAAAAAAAAAAAAGGGTAAAACGATGCGTTTCATTAATTATGTACGGCCAGGGGATCCACCCACCCCTCGGACCACTGTTAGGGCACCCGGCACGGGGAAAGCGGGTGCCGCGGCCAGGCGCGGGCACGGCAGCAAATCTCCTTACCGTCCCCAAACGCCTCTTTTGAAGTGAGCGTTTCTGTAGGTGGCTGCATTAAGAGATCCATTTGCCAGACACAGCCCACAGCTTTAATGAGAAAACCACCCCACGGGCTGCTCAGCACCGAGAGCAGCCCCGCGATTTCCCCCCAACTACGCGCTGACCTTCAGCATCCAGACCCGAAGCTGCTCCTTGTCCGTATGCAGCGCGATTGGGGTACGACAGACCACAAACAGTAATTTAAACCATTATTCCAGTTCATTCGATACATCAAAACATGAAAAGCATAGTTTGGAATCAAAAATATTTTGGGTACGTGTTTAAGCATCCTGCTGAGCGGAGACAATTCAAGTGCTGTTGTGCTTTGCTGAGGCCCCAGAGCACAGCACAGCTTCGTGGGAAGGGGCTCCTTTCCCTTTTTAAGGAGAAGGTCATCAAGGCCATTAGAAACCCAATAAAACCAGCAAGAGCCCTGAACCCCATCAGACAGCTTAACATATTTTAGCCATCATCTGACTCATTTTGTGCACCAGCATTATATTCATGCCCACTTTAAAAAAAAAAAAAAAAAGAAAAAAAAAAGGAAAAAAATCACTTTCAAACAAAGGAAAAAAAAAAATGCACTTCCAAAGAAAAGCCAAAGCTCTGTTTTCTGGGAGTGACCCTCCCGGTATTCCCGGTGGCTGGCGGGGAAGGGCGGGG